CATGTCCTCAGATCCAGAATCTCTTTGTACTGAATACATGCCTGACTAGTATTCCTGGGTGTAGTACAGATAAAAGCATTTTTAATACTATCTAAACTAATAATTCCTAAAATCTCTCAACTTGTTTGAATGAAACTCACCRTGAATGGTATCTCTGTGCCATTTCACAATGCCACCATGTATTGCACCAAAGTCAGAGCACTGACCATTGAATTTATGTTATTTATTTTCTATACAATGTAAATTCCAGTCTAGCAAACACTTAGGCCTGTGTTTCAATGCAAGCTGTGTGTGCTTGGGCTTGCTGGCCTCAATGCAGCTATTCACAGGCAAAGCCAAACACATATGCCACTGTCTTTGTGTCCTGCAGCCTGTGTGGAGRGATGAGATTTGCTTTTTCAGAAAGGGTATTCTTAAAATTCTCTAACCTGTGGTATGAGATTGAGGGCTGAGATATGGGATGGAAATGCTGTGCTGGTGGAGAAGTCAATCAGGGCCAAAGTGCCACCCTCAGATCTTCCTCATGCATATATAAAACATGTATAAAACAGCCTTGAGGGCTATGAGTGGGGCATATCTGAGGGGCTGAGGCCACCTCGGAACTCCCTRTGGGTCTGAGGCCACCCCTGCACTCCCTGTGGGATTCCTGGGCTCCTGGTAGCTGATTTGAAGCTGGCTCTGAAGTGCTCCGGCAGCAGGAGAGCCCACGTCCCTGCCAAAGGGCTGCTCACTCGGCTGGCAGGGCAGCATCATCTGCAGGAGATTTCTTAATTGCATTTCTTAATGTAAGAGGGGCTGTTCTCTCTTTCCGTGAGTGGAGCTGCAATTACCCACACTCTGTAAATCCGTGTGGTGAGGAAGATGTAGGTTGTATATAGGTCATAGAAAACATAATTGTGTAACTGCATTAACGCATGCCTGAGCTAAAGGCTGAAATATGGCTTAGCTGCAGAAAATAGGGCTGCAGGCTTTAAATAGCCTTACTTGGGCATCTCTTGGACAGAGATGGTRGGGCTGTGAACAGATCACTGTGCCTCCTCTGGATGAACAGAAAATCCCTTCACAGAAAACCCTCTCTAAACGTGCTTAATGACATTTTTTAGAGCATTTAAAGTATGTTTCAGTTGGATGTTGCTGGTTAGGAAAAAACACATAATGAATCCACTGGGGAATGTGTGAGCTCTCCTCTGAGGAGGGGATGCAGAGCAGGGCAGCTGGGGGATTCTTTGAGCTGGGCACAGTGGGGCACAGAGGATGGGATGGGATGGGATGGGATGGGATGGGATGGGATGGGATGGGATGGGATGGGATGGGATGGGATGGGATGGGATGGGATGGGAGAGCACCCTATGCTGAGCTGAGTCTCACAGCAGGGCCTGGCAGTGCCTCACACTCTGATCTGAGCAGGCACTCACAGACAGGGCTCACGGGAGTCTGGAAAGTGCCCGTGGGATCTGCTCCACATCCCCTGGAGAAGTCCTACTCTGCCCCCTTCTGCTGGGCACTCGCTCCTCTCTGTGAGGACAAGACCTGCCTGAATGCCTGCCCTGCCCATACCCTGCTCTGAGAACCCAGCAGCAAATGCATCAATAAAACCTTTTACCTTATTTAGCAGCATAAGGCAGCCCTTCRTGTGGGGCACTGGAATGTACCAAAACCCCAGGATTGTGGGCACTGCTGAAACTCTGGTTTTTATGGTGAGCACATCCACAGGGGTGAGATGGCACCCAGCCAAAGCTTTGTCACTGGTCCAACTCTGCAATGTATTTCTGTATACAGAGACCTTGTTTTCCTTCTCTCTGCTTTGTTTTTTCTACTTTCTGAAGAGTAAATATCCCTCTGGCTTCTCTCTCTACAGGGCTGAGGAGCCTTCCTTCTGGCACAGCCAGAAACACTGCTTATCCTGCATGATAGGGTTTGTCCCTTAAATAATAATACCCTTTAAAGTTTTTTTTAACTTCCTAAAATCTCTCTCCTTGGTTTCCTGTGTTTTGAATAAATAATTGAGTAGCTTCCAAGGTGGATAACTACTCACTAATTGTATATGGAGGAATCACGATATCTTTTGTGCACTTGCATGGGATCAAGTTCCCATATCCCAGAGGCCAGTTCACACTTTCAGAGTCTGTTTGCTTCCTTTGCTGTCCTAAGTGTAATTAAAAATTTTACACCATTTTGCATAAAAGGATTTCAAAGCACTTTTTGCCACTCCTGTAAACAGGAAAATTCCCACCTGCTTTTTTTACCTCTGTCTTGTCTTCTACATGTTCATTTTTGTTTCYATATACATGTTGCAACTTGTTGGCCCACCCTAAGCCCCATTTCCCTCAGAGGAGGAAGAAAAACACCAAAAAAAGGAAGGGAGGGCATCTCCTGAGTCAGGAGAAGGTCTTCATGCAAGAAAAGTTGTCTCCATGGTGGGACTCTCAGCACTCCCGGGTTGTACTGGGTTCCAAGCTGCTGGAGGCTCCTCTGCAGSTGCTGAAATCCCAGCTGGAGATGCAGAGTGGTGCGGCAGCTTTTCCCTGGGGAGCCAGGTCCACACAGGCCAGTTTGGCTGAACCTGCTCTGTTCCAGGGGAGCTGTGTCTGGGGTGYGCAATGGGATGGTCTCACTCCTGCACTAAGGTTGGCTACAGCCACAATGTCCCAGAGGGAGTGGCGCTGCCCTGTCCCAGCCCTCTGCTGGCCGAGCTTTGTTTGCAGCTCCAGCTTGCCCTGACGAGGGGGTTTTCTTTGCTGGCAGCTCTCAGCGCTGTCGCATCCTGTCCCCTGTCTCTGAAATGGACAGCTGGCAGCATGGGGATATCCCAGCCAGAGGGATATGTGCAGCCTGTCCGTGTGTCCCCCCTCTCCTGTCACCCTGGACGTGCTGTGTGGCTCATGCCACCTCACCCCAGGTGTGCTGTGCCACTCCTGCGTCCCAGTGCCACCCACAGCCCCGCTGCCCTGCCCTGCCCTGCCCTGTCCTCCTGCAGCCCCCGTGGTACCCCACTGTCCCTGTCCTGTGCACAAGCCCTGCACGCCTGCCCTGCAGCTGCCTCAYCGCCCAGAAATGTGGGGGAGGTTTCATTCTTGCATGAAGCATTCTGAGCRTGCCTGGTGCTCCCCCCTTTTGCCCTGGTTTCTCCAGAGCTTTCCTCCTTCCCTTGCTCCCTCCCCTGCTCCAGCTTCCTGCMCTTTGATGTGTGTCCCCTCCTCTGCTCCAGGGTACAAACTGCTTACCAGGCGGAGATGGCTGCTCCCACCCTCAATTAGGTGCAATTTTAGGGTTATGCTTTTCCCCAAAGCCTTGCTCTGGAGTGGCTCTGGAGTCCTGCTGTGGGCTAATGACAGATGTGACACGGAGCAGGCTCTGCTCTGTGCAGGTGAGCAGTGCTGGTGGCGCTGGAGGTGCAATGACAGGCGGGTTCTGGGGTGGCCACTGACCATGTCCTGGCCAGCTGGCCCTGAGCAGGACTCAGCTGCMGCATCCCAATCCTGCTCCTCTCCAAGACAGGAGCAGCAGATACTCGGGTGCTTTCTGCTGTGGTCAGGCAGGGCCCAGAAATGTGCCCCTGGGGAAGGCACAGCCCGTGCTTGTGCAGAGATGTCCCAGCTCGGCTGTCAGCTCTCCCCATCTGTGCTTGGAGCTGTGCAAAGCCTTGGCACCCGTGGGGTGCTCCTTGGCTGGCAGTGGCCAGCGCAGGAATAAAGCTCCAGTGCAGGCCCTGCACTTCTGAGGGGCTGCCTTTGGCTGGATATGCACACAGATGATCCTTCACATACAGATGTTCCACTGTGGCTAAGCTGGCCCTTTTGCAGGACCTTGTCTGGTTACTCTGCAGGATGGGGSCAGACAAGCTTAGGAGAAGAACTGCCCCTGCTGCTGTTCTGCATGTGGGGAATCCCACCCGTGCACTGCAGCATGACAGCACTCATCCATTCAGGACAGGGGCTGTGCAGGCATTTCCTCACTCCTAACCTGTTCGCTTTACAAGAGGTGAACGTGGGGCTTGCAGAAAGTCTGCAGGATATCACTGACTGTGACCTGGGCAGTCAGAGCATCCCCATCAGGGACGTGGGTGGCTGCCAAAGCACCAATGGAGCTGTGTAAGGCAGGGAGAGCCACTGCGTGCTGCTCTGCCCAGCTCTGTGGCAGACCTTGGGTGAGCCAGGCACAGCTGTGGTGCTCACTGGGCCCTGGGAGCACCTTGGCTGTGGCTGGGTTTCAGGGCACAGCTCAGCTGCACGGCCCCAGGAAGGGACAGGGCTGAGCCATCTGTGGCTCTTGGGGTGGCATTTGGGCAGTCAGGAGCTCCAGAGTGTGTGTGTGCATGTGTGAGTAAGGCATGCAGGGCAACATGTAAAAACACACCCGGAGAGAAAGTCTCAACAGAAATTAGGTTAAAATRAAATGTAATTAAACACAGAGAACTTCCTGTCAATTACTCAACTCTTCTTGCATAACTCTTGGGACCGGCTGCCTTCACAGATRGCTGCTCTGCTGTCAAAGGCATTTGCTGGGCACCTGTTGGAAAAAGTGCCAGGTCAGCATGAATTAATTTCACCGGCATCTTTCCTTGTAATAAGATTTAAAAGTCTAGAGGATAACTGCTGAAAGGTCTTACTGTTCCTCAGACAAACCTGTGATGCCTCCTGATGCTTCATCCTCCTCGGGCACTCCTTCAGGTGACTGTGAAGGGGACATTGCAGTGGCCTGAAGCATCTCCAGGGCTCGAGTGGCTGTGGCAGAGGAGGCTGCACGTCCCTGCTGGGAGCATGGCAGTGGCTGCTGCCAGAGCAGGGGAGCAGGATGGAGCTGCTGCTGTCCCCAGCCCTCTCAAAGGCTGTGACACTTCTCCCCTTCCCCTGCCACTTGCCCCGAGCCCCGAGGCTTTAGAGAGTGGCTGCAAGGCAGAGAGCTCGGCAGCTGCAGGGCCATACCAGACACGTGGGGTGTTTGCCTTTGTTTGCCTGGCTGAGCAGCCAAGTTGCAGCCCATCTCCAGCTTCACACCAGCTGCAGATCCAAGGCAGCTGACTGGGCTGCCAGAAACCCGAAACACGTCGAGGACCAGGGAGTGGCTTGTGCCAGAGCTGAATAATGATGATCCTGGCACACTTATAAAGAGAAGCAGAGAGCTCACAGAGCTGTTCCTTGCCGCCCTGGTCCTCTGCAGAGCATCCCTGYGCCTCATCCTCCAAGGTATGTCTGAACTGAGAGATTCAAAATGGGAATTGTGTCTGCAGCAGGGCCTGTGCCTGCAGCTGCAGACAGACTGGGCTTTTCTTTTGAACTTGGGGAAAACGTTACCATTGCTCCTGCGGAGGAGTTTCCAGGCAGCGAAGCAGAGCAGCCCTGTGCTGCGGGGTCTGTATGTGCCAACCTGCCCCAAGCAGAGCCCAAAGCACGTGAGCAGCATCCTGGCTCCATTGGGTGTGAACAGCACCGCTCCTGCTTCTGCTCTGCAGGAAAATCTGTCCTTTCCTCCTCACACTGTGTTTTTGAGGGTCAGTTCATGTTGTATTTGGTGCTGATTTGAATCTCTACTGGCTTCCCCACCTTGCAGTGCTGTGTATGTCCCAGTACACAGAGACCCCTCTGGAGCCAGCTGCACTGTCTCTCCCATCGTGTTGTGGTGTCAGGCAGCCCTGGCATAGCTGGGGGTGTCCCTGCTGCCCTGCAGGTGTCCACTGCTGGCTTCCATGTCCCAGGGCCCCAGTTCTGCCCTGGCTCTGGAGCGTGCTCCYTGTGCTCCAGCATTGCAAGCAAACATTCCTGCATTTCCCCTCRCTCTAGCTTTGGACAAGCAATGATGCTCCTGGGGGCCCTTGGACATTTGTCACCCTGCCTCTTGCCAGGTGTCAGATGTGGGTGCCGAGTACAAGTGCTTTCACCAGGCACTGCCTGGCTTTTCATGGAGCTGCTGGGCACAGCCTGAGCACAGGCAGGGCTTAAGGCTGTTTTGGGCTTGGGACTTTGTTGGCACCATGCCTTTGTGTTCTTCTCATGATCCTTTCCTCCTTGCAGTACCCCTGAGGTGCCCTCCTGTTTTTCACACAGAGTTGTGCTCCGGGCAGACCCCAGCTCAGCTCTTTTCTCTCTTGCCAGGTCCTTTTCCCGCCTGCATCCCAGTGCAGCCATGCTGGGTACGGCAGTGCGGCTCTCGGTCCTGCTCAGCCTCTTCAACGTTGGGAAAGGCCAGATATTTCAYATGGGACCGTGCCCAGATCCATCAGTTCAAGAAGAATTCGATATCCACAAGGTCTGAAAAGTTTTTTTAAAATCTCCTAGGGTTTAGTGAGTTAATCTAAGGGGGCATAGGAGGGGCAGCAACCTGCCTGGGTGCAGGGGGTGGCAGCAGGTCTGGTCACTCTTTGTGCCACCACAGGTCTGCAGCTCTGCTCACCCCCCAGCCCCTGCACCACCAAGGGGAAAAAACTGTGCTGACAAAGGAGCCAGGCTGCTCTTCAGCCCACTCATGTTATAAACATCTCTTTAAACTTTCTTCTGTCAGTATTTGGGGAAATGGTACGAGATAGAGAAGCTGCCCTCAACTTTTGAGAAAGGAAGCTGCATCCAGGCAAATTACTCATTGAAGGAGAACGGGAAGTTCATGGTGATCAACAAGGAGATGCTGTAAGTGTTTGTGTTTGGTCCACGTCCTCACTGTGGMAGTGGCACTCCTGTCACCTCTCTTGCTGTCCTGGGTGTTCGTTTTTCTCTAAATATCCATGTCTGGGGGAGGCACCCTGTGGTTTCAGTAGTTTTTCTGAGACATATGGGTCTCTGGTTTCTACCAGTGACCTGGGGATTACCAGGTCTCATTGCCCATGAGTGATGAGAAAATAGATCAGAAGTTCTTGGTCACTTCAGTATAAAATAGCCTGGCTCTCCCCCATGATTTGTCAGCCCCACGATGGCTGTGAAGCTGAATGCTCCGGGTCCTGTTCTGGGGGTGTCATGGGGCCGGTTAGCTGCAGCACTACCTTGTGCCCCTGCATGCTCAGAGGTGACTGTGTCCTCTGCTCCTCTCTGCTCCAGAGTAGAGACAGAAGGAAAAGGGGCAGGCAAGGTGAAGCATATGGGTAATATTTACTAAAATATATTTGTCAGCCTTTTTCTGGAACATTTACCTTGCACAGGAAGCAACTGCTGTGCAAGGGGATTGGAAATAATTGTCAGTTTAAATCAGTGGCAAAGTGAATGCTTCTTCCTTTAGTAGGGCATTAGGACAGCTCACAGTTTTCCTGAGACCTGCTGGATTTCTGCACAGACCCATGCAGATGTTAATTCATCTATTTCCATCACCAGCCTGGGCTGTTATGGGCTGTGGATGTGAGGGGCTGAGCAGATGAAAGGGAGAGAGCAGCAAACACCACGCTGTCCCCTGTGCTCCTGGCATGGCATGGGGACTTTGTTCAGGCTCACAATGACAGCAGTGTGGGCACACATCCCTTGTGTCCGGAGCAGAGCAGYGTTCCTGCCACTCCCTGAGTGCCCAGCACTGTCTCAGCAGCTCCACGCCTCGGGCTGCGCCTGGCAAACAGCTGGACATTCATTTGTGCTTCATTGATCTCTGTGAGATTAATCCAACCATTGCTGTCACTACTGCAGCACCTCAGGACCCCGAAATATCAGGAGTATTTCGGGTCAGATGTGAGCTGTGCATGGCTCCARCATCAGCCCCTTGACCTCTGCTGCTGGCAGCATTCACTTCTGCTTCCTTGGCTGTTCCTGTTTTCCAGGGAAGCGTGAACCTTTCCTGCCTGATAGGCAGCGTCCAGGTCTTAAGGCATCCGTGGAAAAATACAATTATGAGATGGGTAGCTCAAGTGTTAGGGCTTGCTGCCAGCAGGGCAGTGCTCTGAACCAGCAGAAACCCTGGCTCACCGTGCAGGCACAGGTAATTTGTGTGTGGAGGAATGTGCAGCGACCTGGAAAAAGCGACAGGTGAATAAACAACAYGAACACGTGCCTTCCACAACTACCAGGAGCTGAGCTGCCCCCTGGCACATCCAAGATCATGGATGGGATCCTCCCAGCCTCCCACGCTGGGTTCCTCCCATCCAGTGCAGAGGGGTCTTGCTTTCTTTCTTCCCTGTCATTGTCCTCTGGAACCAAAGAGCATCCTGCTGGCAGGGGTACTTGGAGAGAGGCAGCCTGGGGTGCTGGGGTGGTTTAACCTGGGAGAACATGTACCCASCTGCTCCTGGCCCAGGACCTGCTGTGCCCTGAGTGCTGCTGAAACCTCCCTTAAGGGCAAGGTGTCTCTCCAGGGGTGCTGGGCTTCACTGGTACCTGTTTCAGCCACCTCTGACAGATTCRTGTGTCAGGAGAGATGATTTAGTGGAAGTGAAAAAAAAAAAAATCTCCCACTTCCCTGACTTTATTTCTCACCTTTGTCATTCTCCCCTTAGTGCCAACGGCAAAATCAATGAGGCTGAAGGAGAGCTCATGCACATGGATGTAAAGCAGCCGGCCAAGCTGGGTGTTCGCTTCAACTGGTGTAAGTGTGCGGTGGGGAGGCTCCCCAGTGCCCATGGCCCCGCAGTGCTGTGCTCTGAGCATTATTGTGCCACAGCACCAGGGGCAGAGCCTGCAAAGCAAGGGGGGAAGCTCCCCTGCTCACCTCAGGGCTGAAATAGGTGCTGTGACCAGCAGGCAGTGGTTTGGTGATACTGATATGCCATTTACAGCAACAGCCCCTTCAGTGGTGGAGCACTCTTCACCGGCTGATCTCAAAGCAAGAACGATCAGCAGCCTTGCTGTCCCTCCAGGTCACTTCACAGATGGGGACAGGGAGGTGGGGAGGTGGGGGAGGCAGCCCCACAGTGCTGTGAGAGCCAAGAATAAACTTGTTTCTGTGCACACAGCAGTACAGCTACTTGCCCACGCTGCCTCTACGTACAAGCCTCTACGTGGCTTTTAATAACCATTAATAATATGGTTTTGTTTGCTTGTTCCTTCCCTTGTCACTGTAACACCCAACAGGGGCCTGCTGAGGTGCAGTGCTGCATTGCACAATACTTTTCTGTCTTCAGCAGTTTCCCCTTGGATCACTTTTTATGCTGCTCCCTCACACCTTTTCTTTGGCTGTTTCATAGCTCTCTTTCACAGAGGGGTTATTTGGAGAAATGGGTGGAGGAAGGATACTTGCAGAGGAGGTACAATGACTGTTCTTGAGCAGAGCCAGATTTTATTCTGCTCTGCTGTGGTTTCACCAGCAGCCATTTCACCTGCAGCCACCTCCACCAGGCACGAGTCCCAGAGAACAGTGCTGGGCTCAGCTGGCTCCCCGAGACAGGTTCCTCATGGCAGCGGGTGATGGTTTGTGCCCCTCCTGTCACCAATGTCAGCCCCCAGCCCTGCAGCTCCTTCCCAGCAGCCAGCACCCTCACACTGGTGAGGCTGGGCTGGCTTTTGTCAGCCCAGGAGAGCTGTTCAGGTCATGGTGTTAACTTTCCAGCAAGAACTTCCTAGTCAGGGCTTTGTGTCTTTCTCAGGTTCCTCTGGGCAGAACAAGGAGTCCTGGTAGGCTTTTATAAATTATAGCTGCCTGTACTGACCACAGGTATGCAGCAGCCAAAGTGGGAACAGTCCCAGGAGTTGTGGCTGCAGTGCTGCTGGGCTGTCCAGAGCTGCTCACTCATGGCAGTCCCAGGAGCTGTGGTGCTGCAGGGCTGTCCAGAGCTGCTCACTCATGGCACTCACAATGCCCTCCTCTCTCTTAGTCATGCCTGCAGCCCCTTACTGGGTCATCTCCACCGACTATGAAAACTACTCCCTGGTTTACTCCTGCACTAACATCCTCTGGCTCTTCCACATGGACTACGCCTGGATTATGTCAAGAACTCCTGATATGCACCCAGAAACCGTGGAGCACCTGAAGAGTGTTCTGCAGTCCTACAAGATCGACACCGATAAGATGATGCCCACTGACCAAGCCAACTGCCCTGCTGAGATGTAACTCCTGGCATGCAGTGATGCAGCACYGCACCAGAGAGGAACTTTGCTGCTTGCTTTATTATCCATTAGAATTTCTCKATGTACCTGAGAAATTTAATAACCTCTTTGCTAACTATAGTTTGCCAGCCCAAAGTTACTCCTTGCTGTCATTCCCCCATTGCTCTTCCCCCTCTTTTTGTCTCGCTCTTTTGCAACTTAATTGACTGAGTCAGTGCTAATGGGCGAAAGAAAGAAACCCTGAAAGGCAGACACAAAACTCTGCTGYTGCTGTGAGCCCTCCAGTTCGTGGGTGGGAAAGGGTGAGATGTGATGTGCAAGAATCAGTCCTGGGGAAAAATTGTTCATCACAYTGCCCCAGGTTTGTTTCCAAATTTTGTCTTGATGCTTCTGGGCCTGCCAGGAATCTACGGTGTCTTAGCTATGCTGTGGGCAGTGCCTTAGCAGCAGCAACATCCAGACGTGGTGGGTCAGTCCTGGAGCCTGGGAATTTAGGCTGGAGGTCTTGAAAGTTTTTCAGTGCAGGACTTCTGTAGGCAAATGTTGCTGCTAAGTCAGCAKACCTCCTTGCTAAAAATACACCCTTTGTATTTTAAATCTAAAAATGTCCAGAGATTCAGCATCACTCCATCCCCAGTGTCTATATGTGTCCTCTTGCCTCTAATGAGACTGGTCCTGCCCTCCCAAGGGGCCAGCTCTGACTGTACTTGYAAGCAGACATAAAGAGATGGGGCTGCTCCCTTGTTCTGTCTTCCAGAGGCTTTTCCCTGAACACCAACAGACAGCAGGCTCTGCCATCCTGCCCGCTGCTGGTGCACGTGCCGGGTGCCCGCTGGCACYGCATCTGCCCTGGCAGGTGTTCAGCAGGCACCGCAACAGCTCTGCTTCARTAGCACTCATGCAACTCATTAAAAATGAAATAAAAATAACTGCCTCAGGCCTTTTGTACCTCCCCAGCTGCACAGCCTTTGTCAGCAGGCTGGGGGGCTCRGTGTGTGGGATCTGCCTCTCCTCTGAGGGCACAGCACTGCCGGAGCAGGGCTGCAATGAACGTAAGAACCATGGCTGAAGGGAAATGGTTTGCACCAGGAGCCTGGAGCTCTTTCCAGCTCTCTGCTGTTGGATGTGTGGGCACCCCMCATTGTCTGAGCCATGCCAGCAAATCTGTGTTGTGGCTTTGGCTGACAGTGCCCCCATCTCCTGCTGCTTTTGTTGACAGGAACAAATAATGATGTGGATGTAGATCTGCAGGGAACATTCTACACTTATTTTGGTGGGACCCTGGGGATGTGGGTGTGCTGCAGAGCACTTTCTTTTCCCAGGAGGGCTACAKGAGCTGAGCAGGGAGCCAGAATGTCACTGATCTTTACCAGTAGGAGGAGGCCAGGATGGGAGGGACCACAAACAAGTGCCATGTTTAAGTCATTATCACTTTAAACCTTCAAATCCTAATGCCACAGTTCCTGTGACACAGAATCGAACACTCCACCCGACTCTTCATGCCCTAAAGATGATGGATGTGCCAGGATACAAACAACTGCACAGGGGCTCCCAAGTGTGTCAGATTTTGGGTGTAATCATTTCATCACTGCTTCATCAGGTTCCCATTCTCCTCCTCACATGGATGGTGTTGCTGTAGTCCCCATTCCCTGTGCTGCAAGCCCATGGCACGGTGGCCATGCAGGAGTTGGAACCTGCCAGTCCACCGTCTGGGCAGCCACTGCCCCTGGATCTGGCTGGGAACYGGGATCTGCAGGTGCTGCTGAGAAACGGGAGTGTTTCACTCAGTGACAAAACCCTGTSATGCCTGAGCCCTGTGGAGACCGCAGTGGCTCCTTTGTTGTGCCACAGACACCGTGACAAACCCAGGCTGCAAACACATTGTGCCAGGGCCATCTCCGCATGGTGGCACAGAGAGCTTTGGAGCCCAACTGCACGGCTGTGGCCTGTCCTGCCACGTGCCAGCCCATGTCCCCAGCATGACAGCACACATGTGAGACATCCTGCACGTGCAAAACCCTGGTGTGCATTGGGAGTGCCACACATGCACGTGCCCCAAGCATTCCCGAGAGCTCTGCAGACACCCCAAGGGCAGCACACCCCTCCTGCTGTGTGGGATCCCTGCATGGGCACCAGGGTGTGCACATTGCAGGGTATGTCATGTGCCCTCATCAATGTACATGTGTATCTGATGGGGAGATGCCAAGAAGATAGAGYCAGGCTCTTCTMGGTGATGCCAACCACCAGGATGAGAGGCAATGGACAGAGACGGATGCACAGCAAGTTCCACCTGAACACAAGGAAAAGCCTCCTTAYTGTGCAGGTGACAGAACACAGGGACAGATTGCCCMGAGAGGCTGGAGWCTCCCTCACTGGACATATTCAAGAACCATCTGGACCATCCTGTGCCATGTGGTCCCTTCCAACCTGACTGATTCTGTGATTCTGTGTCCGTGGGCCCATATGTGCCTGTGTCTGTGTGTCTGCATATCTCCTTGCCCATGCGTTCCCGTGTCCGTGTGTCC